TCCAGAAGGCGGAGGTTTGACCAAAGCTCCCAGCTGCTGACCCCGTGAAGCGTGGGGTGACTGTGTGAGGCCAAGCTTGGGAGGGCTGCTTCAGACATTGTGCAAGAAAGATGAGTGGTCACACCAAGGTAAACTCATTCCTGCGAGAAGCAAAAATCCTTTGCTGAGACTTTGCCCAGCAGACTTCCATGGCCCTGGTCAAACTTTAAGAACTGTGCATGAGGCAAGGGTCCTTCATAACCAACCTTCCTCCTTCCTCTCATCTGCATAGTTTCCAACCTGCGTTTTGAAAAAGAAACCCTTGGGACCTCCCTGGTGGTGCAAGGGTTTAAGACACAGCACTATGGAGCTAACCCGCAGCCACTGCAACATGAGTTTGATCCCCAGACAGGGAGGTGAACCACATGGCGCAGCAGACCTCTCCGGTCTACCCGCTGCTCCCCTCAGCAGTGTATTTCAGTCAGTCTGCCTGTTCTGTCCCCCACTCTGTCTCTGGTGAATCCTCTCACCCCCGACATCTCTGGCCTGTACCTCAGATCTTGTACGCATAAAATAAATCAATCATAAAAAGAAAAAAAGAAAAGAAAAAAAATCCCTTACCCTGCTTTTCATCCTAACACTTTAAGTGTTTTCATACATTTCCCACAATGTACCTGAAACTTTAATCATATCTTGGCAACTGCATCTCTGTAAATACCAATCATATAACAGAATACATGACACCAATCATGTATCGTAATACATGACACACAGTAAGCCTTTTATAAAATATTTAAAATAAATTTATAGGAATAAATACTATGTGAATGAAAAGCTTCTACATAGACAATACATGAATATAAGTAATTTTTGTTTTTCCCTTTACATACATTTTGTCTACATAAAATAAAAATTCTAAAAATACTTTTTCTTTTATTTTACATTGCAATAAAATTATAGGAACAGTGTATTTTATTTCTATACAGATTTTTCCCAACACTTTCTTTAGCTTCTGTTCATTATCTCTTTCATTCATGTGTGTACAATTCAATAATTCTGAACATTGTACCTAAAATAGTAATTTAAAAATTCAGAACTTAGTCTTACTCTGTCTAGGTTATTTTAATGGTATGGAGATTGCATGAAATGGAATATAAGCAAGAAGGAAACACTTAATGGAATTTGAGTTAAAAGCATTTGGAGGAGGAAAATTTGAATTGATTACACTTTTCCTTCTTATGGTCAATATTTTCCATGGAGCAATAAGTGCTGGGGTCTGGAGAGAGGGAACCACATCAGAGTGTGCTAAGGAGCAAGAATGGGGAAAAATTAAAATAGAATGAGAATAGTGAAAGGAGCAAAAACACAAGAAATGGTTATTTAATTCCTCCAAAAGACAATGCAGCTCTTCCTGCATTTCCATCTTTTTCCCTCTCTGCACTCCTGCACACTGAAAACTGAATTTTTCTGTTCTTACTCTGTAATTCCTGGGTAATAACTACCTTTTATTCTGGAGCAATGCAAGTTTTCATAAAAAAAATGGTGTATATTTATATATCATTATTTTATTGAGTTTTTATAAATAAGAAAATTACAATAGTTATAAATAGTACAATTTGAGGGAATTTCTCCTGTTCCTGTGACAGAAGCTAGCAACCATCACATTTAAATGAGGGTTTTTTTTTATTTTGAGATATGATGCATATTAATGATTGTCATTTAAAAAAAGTTTCAAAATAATTCGTGTTATGTACATAGGGCATTTCCCTCAAGTTTTATTTCTGAAACAAATATGACCTGTTGTATTCCACAGCTGGAATACAACAGGGCAAAGTGGTACACAGCAAAACCATCTTTTATCCAACAGTAAATTTTGATTATTCTATCAATATTCACCTAGAGACTCAGATCTTAAACCATGGCTTTTGTATCTAAAAGAAAGTTCATTGTGATTTTTAATGGGTTCCACAATTCCACTAGAGCCAGAGTTAGCTGGTTTATTTTATAGGTTTGCTGGTATTTAGGAAATATAATTCTTAAGTATTTGATTATGTATGTTTTTATTATTTATTAAATCAGTCACAACCTCTGCTGGAGGCACCTGTTGGCATAACCTCTATATCATCTTCATTTTCTTTATTATGCCCCGGAGGTTTTAACAAAAACACATTACTATGATTTGTTGGTAAATATTTATTGACATATTACTGGATTGCCATGGTTGCAAGGACATCTGGCAATATGTCCCCTGGCAAATGATCATTTATACCACTAGTGAAAGGATTATTCATTTGACCCAACAATCTATTTCTCGTCTCTAAGACAGTGGGTGTGGTCACACTGGGCGCCCTGGAACCCAAGTCAGTGGGACACACACAGCATTACTTGCGCTAATCCTATGTGCATATTAGTTGTTTCTTCAGGGAAGCTAACATGTTTTCTTGCTTTTTTTTTTTCCTTTTGGTTGGTAAACAGCTGTTGCTAGTATTTGTTCTGCTTCAATTAACTTTTTTTTTTTTTTTAGTTGCTGAATATCACTGCCTTTCTTCTCCACATCTTCTTCTAGAACTTGCATTTCAGGGCATTTCCCCGGTTAAGTATTAATTTCATCAGTTCTTGAATCCCCCCCACCTCTGTAGATTAACAATCCCAGGAGTTGGTTTTCATCTCCAGACTGCAACAACTTTGGGTTTCTTCAAATTGCCAGAATTCTAATACGTTCCCTCCGCAACACCCCCAAATCTTCCAGCACAGATGGCAACTGCTCTCAGGAGTTGTCAGTGCCTGCTCTCCTGAGCCGCTGCCAGGTGGTCCCTTCCCCTCTCCACTCAAAGATGCCACCATGTTCTCCACAGGTGAGCAGCAGGAGTGTTATGTAGTATTATTTTAACTCTAAATATTTTATTATCAGGAACTTATTATATGCTAAAAATGTTCAGAGGATTCAAGAATAAATACAATATGTCCCCTGATTTCTAAGAACTCTAAATTGAAGTATAAACATTAAAATTGATGTAATGTTTTCCTATATTCCATCTATAAGTGAGACCATTCAATATTTTTCTTTTACCTTCTGACTTATTTCAGCTAGAATAAGCCCTTCCAGCTCCATCTATGTTACTGCAAATGGCATGAGTTTATCTTTTTTGATCACTAAGTAGTATTCCATTGTGTTTATATACCACATATTCTAAAACCAGTCATCTATTTTGGGGCATAAAAGTTGTTTCTATATCTTAGCTAATATAAATAGCGCTCAATAAACATAGGAGTGCAGGTTTCTTTTTGAATAAGTGGAATATTGGGAAACTGAATGAGGGGTCTGGAAAAAGACAAAATTTGCAGGCAGACCATAGTTTTGAAGTATACAGTGGGGAAGGGGAGGTAGAGGGGTCAAAATAGAAGAGGGAAGAACACAAGACACTATGGTGATGGTTCAGGGGTGCTGTGTTGGTGGGAAAATGTTGGGTGCGATACTTGAGGGGAGAAATCAAATACTGTACAAAAATGAACAACGATGTGTAAGAAGATAAAATAATTAATTAAAAAAGAAAAATAGTGTAATGTATTATATCTAGTACTTTATTAGATATATACACAAAGAGCTCTAGAATGATCAGGAATGTCTTGTTCTATCTTTAGGAGTGGGATTACTCCAAACAAAGGTGAAACTGTACAGTCTCGAGCATTACATTTTCTCCAATGAGATGGGGTCAATAAGTGTCTTCCGAAGCGGAGAGAATAATAACACCAATAAATTCATAGGAACATGAGGGACCATAGACTACCCTAAGAATGCCTGGTGATTCCTGTGTGTGTGTGTGTGTGTATATATATATATATATATATATATATATATATGAGAGAGCATTACAAGAAATGAGGCAGGATTGGCTGTAAAAGGTCAAATTAAGACACTACCAGTGTGCATGACTTTATACAGGTAATAGACTATTAATAAACTACTAAGGAGGAGACTCATGGATGCCTCTTTGTTTATTTAAAACTTCTCACTATTTCTTATTTCCCAATTGTTTACCCAGAGCAAACCCACTTTCTAAGCACCAGTTTGGAATATGCAGGAAGTGATTTGAAATATGTAATTTAGCAAGACAAAAATATTAAAACCCATTTAGTTTCTCACTTGTTTTGCATGTCAGCCTTCTGGAACTAATTTGGTTTGTATAGCACGCTTTACTTCGTTCCAAATGTTGCTGGAAATTATTCTTCGTAAAGCACAAATATTTGCCCCATGTTCAAAATAAAACATTTTACCTGATGGATTTGAGATCTATGAATAAGAAACTATTTAAATTCATTCTTCCCATTGATCTATGTAAATATAAAAAAAATATTCACAATGAGAACTACCACCCTGTCACTGAGCAATATTGTCAGAATGTGTCCTGGTAGAACCATGTAAATTGATGCTGATGAGTGCAGGGAAATGAACAGAACTGCAGCTCGGGTTCTATATTCTGTCATCTGCTATCCATAGAGAAAACAGTCTTCCAGTCCAAGTCTGTGAAGGAAAAACGTAGAGAAAGACAGAAAGACAGAAATCTTGCATTTTTATTTCCAAAAGCTTATTGCAATACCTCTCCGATTAGCATTTTCAGATAAGATGATTGCAAAGTAAGGATCAGATATGTTTACCAAATTTAATCTTAATATCACATTAATAGTTAAGACATGGGTTTTGTCAGTCATGTAAATTTATATTTAATCATTAAAACAGCTTTCAGAGATTGAATAGTTTTCTTTCCAAGTCAGGTTGATTTTTAGTACAAATTCCTTGTCATCCATTGAGCCAGAGACTTTTTCTTTAGTATAGATTCCTACTACTGAAAAAAAAAAAAAATTACACCCTTTTCGGACTTTTGTCAGCCACTGCCTAGAAACACTAAGCATAAAGGAAGTCCGCAGTCTTCAAAGAGAGAATGTGACTTATATGCTGCTACCAATGTGGAAGTTTTTCTTGATAAATTAGGAAATCAATCCCTTTAAAATAAGTCACTAGGGTGCTTGGTTCAGCAGCACATATACTAAAATGGGAACAACACAGAGAAGATTTGCATGGTCCCTGCCACATTTGTGAAGCATTCCACATAAAAAATAAAATAATCATTAGGATATTTTTCAAAAATCTGGATTATAGACTTCCTGTTATTGATTTGATCATTTCTAAAGATATAAAAGTGATGAGAAGAAATTTAGAGAATCTTATCTTTAAAAATTGTCTATTGAAGGATATTTTTGTTTGTCTGTTTTTACCATATACAACTTTTATAAATGTGAAGTGTCAATTCTAAATGTACTGAAGTGAACTTTTTTCTTTTTTTAGATTAATTAATTAATTTATTTATTTATTTATACAAGCACTGGGTACATTCAGAAGTGCGGGAGGGTGAGAGAATTCACCAGAGCCAGAGTGGGGAACAGAACAGGCAGACCGATGAAATACACTGCTGAGGGGAGCAGCAGGTGAGACAGGAGAGGTCTGTCGCACCATGTGGGACCCTCGCCATAGGCTGGGGATAAAACCAGTGCTGCAGAGGCTGCAGGCAGCTTTCGCAGCCCAGCGCTCCACCAGGGGATGCCCTGAAGTGAACTTTTTTCAACATTTTTCTGTGTGTGGGGCTTGGAATAAGGAAAGGATTTCAAAAATGTAACTATTTGTAATGTAAATATTATGTTGTATTTAAAACATGTGAGTTATAACTTTATTCCCTATGTACTAGAGTGAACCTCCTTTTTATTTATGATAGCATTATAAATACATACACTCCTTTAAGAAATTTAGTAATTATTAATGGTAGTGCTGTTCCTCTGATAAATCTAGGACACAACCTATGATGTGATTACTCTTTATTCTCTGTGTGTGTGTGTGTGTGTGTATACCTGTACTATAAATCTAAGGTCAAAGTATAATTTTTGGCATATTTCCATATCAAATTCAATTTTTTAAAAATTGCTGGTATCCACAGTAATTTAGACAAGACACACTTGTATAAAGATACTTTTTTGGAGGCGATACTAGACTAAATATTTTATTTAATGGAAAATCATTTATTAACACACTGAATAATTTTCATTATTATTAAGTTTAAAATGAAAGTATGTAGAGTTTTTGACTAAGGCATATAACTTAGAGGAGACATGTATTTTTTCATTTATTGCTTGTTTTTTGTCCAGCATATCTTTTATGATAAATTTATCAATTTCTACAAAAATGTTAGAATTTTGAAAATGATCATATTGAATCTTTGCAATCATTTTGGGAATATTTTCATCTTAGCAATACTGTCTTCCAATCTATGAACATGGGATATCGTTCCATTTACTTAACCTTTTTTGATTTGTTTTCATAATATTTGGTAATTTTTAGGGTACAAGTCTATTGCTTGTTTTAATAAATGTATGTCTAAGTGTTTTTTAGAATTTATACTATAAATAGAGTTGTTAGATTACATACAAATACAACTTCATATATATCTATCAACTTTATATCAACTTTATATATTGATCTTGTATCCTGCAAACCTTCTTTATATTTTAGGGAAGTTTGTTGGATAAGGAATTCTTAGTTGGTACTCAATATTTTTTCAGTGGACCCCCTTGGTGGCCTAGGGGGTAAGTCTCAGCATTATCATTGCTATGGCCTGAGTTGGATCCCCAGCCAGAATGCTAACCCACATGGCACTGCAGATTTCTCCTTTCTTGCCTGCTGTCCCCTTAGCAGTGTATTTCAGTAAATCCACCTGTTCTGCTGCCCACTCCATCTCTGGTGAATCCTCTATCCCTGCGATTCTGGCCTAACCCAGTTCTTCTACAAAGCAAAATAAATAAGTATTTAAAATATATTTTTCCATACTTTGACTATTTTATCCCATTACCTCTGGGCCTCTATGGTATCTGATGAAGAATCAAATCTTCATTGTCTTGAGATTTCCTCTTATATTTTTTCTTGCTGCTTTCAAGATTCTTTGTCTTTGATTTTTGATAATTTGTGAATGATATGCTTGTATTTAAATCTCTGAGTCCACTATACCTGGAGTTTAAAGTTTGGATGTGTAAAGTTTTTCTTATATGTTTAAGTATTCTTTTTGAGTCATTTTGCACTGATTACTGGTAGCTATACATATGTTTGTTTAGATATGTATGTGCTATTATATGTGTGCATATGCATATATATACATATTTATATATGCATATATATACATATTTATATATACATATATGCATATACATACGCATACAAATATATATATATATATATAAAGTTTTGTGAATCAGATTTGTCCAGAGCATCTTCATAATGCCTTCTCTTTGAAAATAGTACTTTTGCAGAGCTAATTGATCATATCCTTCCCTAATGTTTGCTAGATTTCTGATTTTCATAGATACTGGAGTTATGAAGCTGCTGTTTTTAAAACCTAGTGTAGCAAGGGAAAGAGAATAATGGGGGTAGGACAAGATAAAGTGCATAAGGTTTACTATTTTTTTAAGACTTATTTATCTATGCATATAAGAACTGAGATGTAAGCCAGAGGTGCGGGGGTGAGAGGATTCACCATACACAGAGTAGGGAGCAGAACAGGCAGATCTACTAAAATACATAGCTGAAGGGAGCAGCAGGCAGGTGAGACAGGAAAGGTCTGCTGCGCCATAAGGGTTAGCTCCCTAGCTGGGATCAAACTCAGGCCACAGTAGTTGGCAATAGCTTGATAGCACTGAGACATTAACCCCTGTGCCTCCAGGAAGGCCCAGGATATTGTTTCTTAAGTGGATTTCCCATGACCTATATTTCCTCCTAACGTTCTAATGTTCCGTTCTTATGGAGGTAGCATCATGGTTCAAGGAAGTAAATCAGACACAGGACCCTTTGCTTTCTCATTATGACACTATATAGCACTATATGTTTTGGGAATAGTGGAAAGTGTCTAAAGAAAGACCTGAACTTGAGACATACCTACTGCCTCATTACAGCAGTGTTCATGAAAACTGGGGCTTTGACTGCTTTGAAAAGTTATTGGCCATCATTTGAAATGGTTGGCACATGAAGTGGTAATAAATGTTCAGAAAGCACATTGGTTTTAAATGGAATCTGTCACCTAGATCTATTTCTAATAGTAAAATGTATATCAATGAGACTGTCTCCCTACAATCATTTCTGTGCTTTCTATTTAATGCTGTTATACATATGCTCTATGTGCTCTATTAATTTAACTGCAGTTTCATCCACTCCATTTATGGAAACCTGCTACATTGTGATGGGAAATATAATGCAAATTTCTAGACTCTGGGTCTGAGCCTTCAGCACATGGTATTATGTAATCCTGTGCTATCTAAATACAAATGGAACATATTTGATCATTGAACTCAGTGGTGAAAATAACCAGAAGTTTAAGATCATAGTACATAAATGACAAAAGATAAGGCTTCCTACTATGCTAATTGAGAGCGGTTGTCATTCAAGTAAGAGTAACCGTTCCTGTACATTGATGATTTATATAGCTGGTGATGTCCAACACAAACTAAGGAGCAATTTAATGTGATTAGCAAAAGTTAGTTGAAATTTTCTATTTCTTGGTTTAAGAAAAATTCTAAATTCTGTGAGCCATATTTGCTCTTTGGAAAAGAGCAAATATAAAGAGAAGATAATTAGTATTTCCAGAATAAAGATGATATATCTATATTTTTGCTAAGAATTTTATTGAAAATCTTATAAAATTGTTGGGTCAGTTATACATATCTCAAAGTACTGAGGAAAAACAAGATACCAGAGATTAGAAATGTGACGATAACTTTAAGGAATTTTTTAAACAAGTCTACTGAAGTCACTAAATATGAAAAGGTATATTTTTATAACTTGTGCATTTCTATAACACAATACTATGCAGTATATAATGGGTTTAACTAATTTAAAGAGAGTCCTTACTTTTATTTTTGGCTTGTGTAGATTCAAGTATAAGAAATTCTCCCCAAAATTGGATTGTTAAAAAAGAAACTTATTTAATTGCCTTTTAAAAATCTGTATTTTAAAATTAATTTCATTTCTATATTTTAATTAATTAATTTCATTAAAATTAATTTCATTTCATTCAATGCGACCACATGTTGAACCTAAATTAGGCAAAGTGAAATGAAAATACACACCTTGGTTTATTGTGTGCTTGCACAAGTAAGAATGATCTGGATATAGTAATTGTGTATGCTAAATTGATTATGAAAATAATTGAATTAAGAATGTTTAAAGTTGCTCATAAAAGAATGCTATTGTTTATAGTTAAAAATGCCTAAGACTAATGTTATAAATCTAGATATTCCGATTAGAAATAATAGAGAATCCAACTTCATGGATTCAGAATTAATTGGATTTTATTTTCCAGTCAGTTAGCTGCCCATTAAGAAAATTCACAAATCCATTCCATTAGATTGCCTTCAATTTAAAAAATGTGTTTTGACACATTGCCAGGTACTTGGAGTATGGAGTTTAAAGGAAAAATCATCTCTTTTGTCAAGAAACCTAACATGTATTTGGGTACAGAGATACAAAAATCAGTAAAGTACAAAAAATGTTAGAAATGCTCAAAGAATGTAGTAGCAGTAGAGAGCACAAGAGGAAGGATATATCCATTCTATTAGCTGGAGGTCAGGGATGATGCCTTCCCTGGAGAAATTCTTTATGATTTATTTTTGAGGAGTAATTTATTTAGTTTGTAGATATGGAAGGAAGAGTTAGTGCAATTAACTAACAGTAAAAAGAACAGTAAAACATATATGATAGGGCAGTAAAACATATATGATAGGGCAGAAACTTGATTTTAATTCATTTTATTACTGTGTTAATAAGAGAAGTGTGTTTAGAAACCATACACACACATTCTCTCTCTCTCTCTCTCTCTCTCTCTCTCTCTCTCTCTCACCTTGGGCTATATTTTGCCACTCTTTGTCATAAATTGGAAAGGGAAACATTCATATCTATGAGAAAGTCATGCAGTGCTGTATGATAATCAAACAGCTGCTTTTTTAAATTTACTCTTAACATTGTATCTCCACTTCTAGCACTATAATATGCTTTCAATCATTTTAATAGTGCCTTAATTAGGATGCCAAAAATAGCTTT